AAGAGCAAATGTTAAAACGAGGACTTGAAAATAGAGAGTGTGGGCCCAGGGTATATTTTTAAAGTGTGTGTGTGTGTGTGTGTGTGTGTGTGTGTGTGTGTGTTGAGAATTACTCTATGCTGTAACTATTACTTGGGCCTATGACTTGTCTGTCTGTCTGTGCCCATTTACCTATCCATTTGATTTGATATTTTTTTACTTCCCAGATATATTTACAATCTTTTTCATTGGATTTGCTTTTTAGAAAGTTAATCTGAATTTGAAATCAGGGCTTGGGGGAAATGTCTGGGTCACATTCAAATACTTTTGCTAGTGTCTTTCACTGGAACTTAGAATATTGAGAAACATGATTAGTATATATTATTTTGACTATATTTCTCTAACAGAGCAACTTAGTGAAAGGTAGTATTTTGTGAATGCATGGTATGTGTTGTATTTTGAGAGTATCCAGTGACTGTGGCATGACATTCTACACTTGCTTATCTCTGGCCTTTCCAATTTAAGTGCCTGAAAACCTCTGGCCACGATTAGCTATGATCTAAACAAATTCTTACTGATCAAATCACAAGCTATAAAATATCGATTGGCAATACTGAAGGTGCAGGTTAAGTCAAAAGGTGACATTTGGGGGACGCTATTTTTTTTATGATCCAAAGTGTACAGAATATACACAAGAGTCCTTTCTTTTTCAATCAAATCTTTTATATAGTAACAAAAAATAAAAAACGAAATGCTACTTCCCCAACCTCCAAGGAGAAAAGCAGACTAAGTCCTACTACCCTGCAGCGTATAAGGCATTCATGATATAGACAAATAACTTTGCTTAGGAAAATATCTTAACCTATTTATCAGGTAATATTGTTAAAGGTTATGAAGTCAGTCTTTACCAAAATCCTGAGCTGTGAAGGATTATAACACTATTAGGGAGAAAGTGTGGGAAGAAAATCTTGAGTAATGAATCAGGTATAAGGACTTCCGTTGCCACACCTTTTTACTAAATGTGAAGTCTAGTTATTTCTGCCAGCACTCTGAAGTATCACAGTGTAAGAGGGCCAAGGGGATATCCATGTGAACAGTATGTAAGCACCTCCCCCCCCATAACTCACAAATGGGCTGATTAATGGTGGTGAACCCCAGCCTGTGCTTCCTTACCTGGAAAAAGTACGATTGCAGGGGTTGATCCTTATTCTCTTCGTCCACATATAGTCCTCCGACCACGTAGACCTGATTCTGTTGGGTAACAATACTGGAATGGTTTCTGGGGATCTGCTCAGCTAGGGCAGTAAGGTAACACTCGTTTTCCATGGGGTCATATGCCACTGCAGCTGTGTCATTGACCATGAGGATGAGATCTTTAACGAACATTCCATGCCTGGGGATGTCATTCAGGTAACCAGGAAGTAAGTCTTCATCACCAACATCACCGTTCACCTCGCCTGCACCCCCCTTATCTGCATTTTTGCTGGGCTCCGGAAGCTTGCCTGCAAAAGCGTCTTTTAGAACTTTGATTTTTTTCTGGACTTCTGGGTTGCTTTTAATTATGTCATCTTTCTCAACATGGTCTTTGAAATATTTCTCTGCCATAAGGCGAAAACGAATACAGTCAAACACTTCACTAAGATTTTTTGCCCTATTTTCTTTGTCTGTCCGCACCCATTTCATCACGGCCTCAAATACTACTTCCTCCTTTTCTACATTGAGGCTGTCATTTGAAACGACGGAGATCAGTTCCTGTGGGGACAGTTGCATGAAGTCTTCTTCCTTACAAATTTGCACAAAGCGGTCTGACACAAATTCCCGGGCAGAAATAGCAAGTCTCGGGCAGTCGAGAAGAAGCCCCAATCTTAGGATGGCCAGGCAGTTACCAGGAGCCAGTCTTTTCTGAAGGTAAGACACACAGACTGTGAACACCGACGGAATCTGGAAGCGGCTGGACAGGGCGAAGATGTCCTGCACGTTCCCGTCATTGAGATCGATACTGGCAGAGTACAGGTATTTGATGATCAAATCAAGTATAGCAGGATCCACGTTGTCTAGCGCTACCTCCTTTTTTTTCTCCTCCTCAATTTCAGATAAAAAATACTCACGGAAGTAAGGGCTACAAGCCGATAATATCAGTCTGTGGCAAGGAAAACTTTTGTCACCTGCTTTTAGGGTGCAATCGATGAACTTTTTCTCTTCCAGGAGATCTTTTAGTCCATCCTGAAGGAGGGTGGACTGGTAAAGCCGGAGTTCCTCTGCAAGCTCCCGCTGGGAATCCATTCTGTGAGGAACCTGGGTAAGGAAGGGGACACTGAGGGTCTTCGCTCCTGGTTGCACACAGGGCTAGCTGTAAAAAGGCAGATCAGTGTGCCCTGCGCAGCCTGAAGCCTTTGCAATTTAATCCCACCGGCTAAATATAGACACCGGCTCTAACAACGGGAATTTAGGAGAGCTGTTTGGAAAGGAGTGTTGTGCAGCTGTCTGAGATTGAAAATAACAACTGGGACTTCTGGTCACTAAGGAAACTGCTAAGAAACAAGGCATTCAGGTGAAGTGGGAAGCGATGGATGTAGAGAGCCTTGAAACACACGTTAATAAAGGGCAACCACCAGCAAATGCTTACTGATCTAACAGAAAAAAATGAATCATAAAAATGAGTCACTCCTCTAAAAATGGCCTAGTGGCAAGCTACTTGGCTGTCTGAGTTAATGATGCCAAGGTCAAAAATACGAGGTGAGTTCACTTCAATTTTCATAAGTTATGAGTCCAATGGTTTAAAATAAAAAAATGTTGCTTCCTACTAAAAGTAGATAGAATTTTTTTCAAGTAGTAAATGTTCATATACTTCTTAGTTTTATATATATAACCTTTTAAGTGATATCTCCATCATAACTGAAGTAACAAATGCAGAGAAATTTAATTTTCTAAAATATTCTAAGTTATCTTTATTTTTAGGTGGGAAAACTATAATTACTACTAAGCTATCAAATTCATTTACATTCTGTCTTGTTATACAAGGGATATGAAGTGACAGTAACACACAAAAAAAAAAAAGAAAAAAAGAAAGAAAGAAAATAAAGACAAAAAAGTTTAAAAGGAATCAAGACCGGAGAAAAACAGTTAAGTCTTTGGGGAAAGAAAAGGCTGGCATACAAATTAGGAATATTTTGTGCTGAAACATATCTTTCATGAAATAAAAGTTAAAAAATTAAAAAATAGAACAGATACAACCCTATGAGGAAAATGTTGTCCCAGAGACAGGAAAATCAGAATGGGCAACTCTATCTTCTGTATTACTTAGAGAGCAGGTCTTGTTTAAGAAAATATAATTCTGGAGACATATTTATGCTGCTGCTGCTGGAACACCCTATGGAATGAAGTGATTTCAAAGAACTCAGCCAGGCATAGTGGCACACACCTCTACTCCCAGGACCTGTGAGGCAGAGGGAGCAAGTTTATTCTCCACAGCACAGTGAGTTTAAAGCCAGCCTGGGCTATGTGAATAGACTCTGTCACGTCTCCAACTGTCCCTTCGTTTACATCTAGGTGGCATTATACATTTCTTCATGAAGTCCTTTGTGACAGGACCATGGTCACATCCTCAACTCAGTAGAACTACAAAGATGCTACAGCTTCAATGGCTGCTGTTCTTAAATGCGCCCCCCCCCAAAAAAAAAGAGAAGCTCAGTGACGATATGGCTTGTGTGTTCTGGGTTGTGTTCTATTTAGTCCTTACACCTCATGGGTGTTCCACAAGTATTTGTTGAACAAGCAAACAGCAAAAATTCAGGAAATAATGTATTTCCAAACTTTCAGTTCTCTCTCCATAAAGGCCGCTTTGCTTTTCTATCACAGCGAGTTGATGGCCCTGCTGGCTGCTGTGAGGACAGCTGAAGGGAGGGCTCAACGGTTCTGTTCCATTTATAGATGTCATTAAAGGCTTTAACATACTGGACGAAGCTAGCAGCTGCTCCCCGTTTAAACAATGCATGATTCATTTCTCTCCAAACGTCATAACACCTAACATTTGAAAAGATTAGTGGGTCAGATACAAACAGCAGGGGATGTCATTTGATGATTCCTTGCTGGTGGGTCATGGTATCGTCCCGTTGGCTCAATATCAGTGAGCAGCGTTGATGGTAGGCATTTTATTTGTAATCTCTAAATATTGTAAATATGTTGGAAAGGAAATATCCTTTCTCATTTCGATGAAGAAACCCATGTATAGTTTTTTCATCCATTTCTAGTGAGTCTGGGCAGCACTTGGTTGTACTGTATGTTCTGGTTGTACATAGTATTTAGATCTTAGACTGTCACTGGAGCCAAAACAACTGACTGATGTTGGAAAGGTCTTCAAGTGTTACCTGAGAGATCTTCAAAGGACTGATGCAAACAGGGAGATCATCAATGAGTGGATAAAACAATTTCCTTATAAAGCAAATGCATTCTTGGCCAAACCATGATGGTATTATTTATAGATCAACATTCTGTAGTGATATACACTATAGTTAAAATTTTTAGTTTTTATAAAAATAAACCCCTAAAAATGATGTATTTAAGAACTGTAATTTGGGACGGCTCAAGGGCAGAGATATGTCTTTGTGAGTTCAAGGCCTGCCTGGTCTTCATAGTGAGTTCCAGGACAGCCTGAGCTGCACAGTAAGACCCTTTCTCAAATACAGACAAACAAACAAATAGAACTATAATTTGAATTACAGTTTTACATTTTAAGTCTTATGATAACATATTTAAACTAGATGTCTAGTTAAGAAGTATTTGATTATTTTAAAGAATAATCTTATTTTTTTTAAATAAAACTTTCAAAACATTAAGTGGTATTGCATAAAAATCTTTATTAAATCCAACATGATACAATCACTTAATATCTGAAAATCAATATTTTTACAAGTATTAGTTACAATATTAACATTCATAAACTAGGTATATTTCAGTTACAATATTTAATATAATTTTTAGAAAACTGACAGTTTTCTTTTTTTTATTTATACTTTTTTGACAGTTTTCTAAAACTAAGGAGCTTTTCCTTAATAATTAAAAACTTCTTAAAATATAAAATATATATATATATATATATATATATATATATATATATTATCCCATGCCTATAGCCGGCAAACAGTATCTTTTAATCTTGAGCTATCTTTAAATAGAGATCCAGCTCAACTCAAGATCAAGTCATTACTTCCCAGAGTCCCTGTAGTGTGAATCCGTCCTTCAGTTTCTCTATTGCAAGCCCCAGTTCTTCTGAAAACACAGGTTCACGATCTTGTTGCTTTGGGGAAAGGGAAGAAGATGAGATGGGAATAGAGGACGGGCAAGGAAGAGGAAAAAACAAAAAGTGTTTCACTAAGTTAGTGACTGCTAAGTGCTGTAACATTGAAAGGTAACAAAAACAGCTATAGGTAAAATGTCCTTACCTTATTTCCATCAGCAAAATAAGCCTATAAGATAAACAAAATGATATTTTACAATCTAAGGAACAGGTAATTAATTTTCAGAAAGACTTCTAAGTATATTTCAATTTGGCTACTGTATGTTTAATAGTTTCTCTACCTATAATGCTGTCATCGATCGACACGTTTCTTGTGGTGGCATGGGCCCTTAATCCCAGCACTTGGGAGGGAAAGGCAGGTTCCAACTTTCCAAGTGTAGGGCCAGACTAGTTTATATACTGGGTTTCCCAGCTAGGGCTAAACTGTGAGGCCTTATCTTAAACAAAACAAAACAACACAATAACAACAGTTTTAAGAAATTTCTTATGCCAGTATTAATAATGTTAGTTGTGCTTTTTGCTCTAAACCAGTTGTTCTCAACCTTCCTAATGCTACGACCCTTAAATACAGTTTCTCATGCTGTGGTGATCCCCAACCATGACATTATTTTGTTGCTACTTCAGAGCTGTAATTTTGCTACTGTTATGAATTACAATGTAAAATATCTGATATACAACCCCATGGGGGTCACCAGCCAAAGGTTGAGAACCACTGTTCTAAGCAGTACATCTAATTGATGAACAGCACTATTGGCCTGAAAGGAGACAGAAAGCTTTTGGAACTGAGATGACTCCTCTATGTCTGCTTTAGAAGATGATGGTAGGGCAGGATGAAGGGCTGCCATGGTAGCTGCAACCCCAGCACATGGACTTGGAGGCAGGAGGGTCAAGAGTTCAAGGCCAGGGACTGGAGAGGTGGCTCAGTACCCAAGAACATGTACTGCTCTTCCAGAGGCCTTGGGGTCAGTTCCCAAATGCGTATCAGGCAGTTCACAATCCAGCTCCAGGGATCTGAGGCCCCTGGCCTCCAAGAGCACCAGCACTTGTGTGCCTATGCTCTTACACAAACATACACACAAACAATTAAAAAATAACAAATTTTAAAAAACAAAACAAGGCAGTGGATAATAAGGTACTTGCCACCCAGTGGGACAACCTGAATGTGACCCCTGGTAGGTGACCATGGGACCACATGGTGGAAGGAGAAGACGGATGCCTGCAAGCTGTCCTCAGACCGCCACAGGTCTTCTCCCTTCCAACCCCCACAACACAGGTAAGTGTAAAACAAGTCACAACAACAAAAACACAACAAAACAAACAGAGGCCACAAAACTAACCAGAAACAACCCAAACCTAAGTAATTAGCACATCAATTTGTCAGTACATAGCTGGAGGGTAGTTCATAATTAGCTGCTTTATGCCAATTACACATCTTTATTTGAAACGACTTGTTACTGGAGGGAAGGTGTGTGTTATGGTCAGATTCATGAGAATGTAGGATAGGGAAACATTAGAAAGTATTAGGTTTTTGGTTTTTTTTTTTTTTTTTTTTGAGACGGGGTCTCACTATGTAGCCCTGTCTGCTTGGCTGGCCTTGATTTCAGAGATCCCCCTGCCTCTATATCTTGAATGCTACGATTAAAGGCTGTGCTACCACACAAATTACAGCCTCAAATTATTAGTATGTTGGCTAATTAAATAATACCTATTTGGATATATTACCTATTTGAGTATATTACTCAAACATATATCCTTCTAAAATAATGTAAGTTAAAGAAAGATCATTTCATAAAGATACATTCTGTAAAGACTTTTAAGTTAATTATGATATTTAACATGCCACAAATCAAATCCTCTAAATAACTGTTCTCAAACTATTTCCTGAGTTGAGAATTTAAAAGTATTCTCACAAAAGAAATTCTTTCACTTAAACAATGTCCCTCAAACTCATGTCAAAAATATCAGGTTTTACTCTGTTTTACACACAGTCATAGCATTATTAATTAAACATGACTCAGATACACATCATAAGAAATGTATTAACTTCTTTTGACGCTCACCACAAAAGCATCCGTGTGGTTGTCAGAGTCTATTTCCACATCATCTTGAATTTGTTCAACAGTCAGAGCTTCAAGTGGCTGTGGCTACAAATTAAGATGTCAAAGTCAATATTAAATAAGTTTTATCTTAGAAAAATGTACCGAGAGAACTACATTGCTTGTTAAGGGTAACACAATGCAAACCACTCAAGTAATTCTACAATCTCACAGTAAAGTCAGCTTGAGGTGTAAAAGTTAAGTGTCAGGTTTCAAATCTGAAGTCAACAACATCAAAATAATTAAAGCAGGAAATGTGTATATATATTTAATACATTTAGAGATGTTCTTAAAAGAAAACTTGGTGCAATTGCTGTTCTTTCAGACAGAAAGAGGCTAGTCAGAAAAGCACTCTGAAGAACTTAGAGGGTGCCCAAGAAGTGAGAGAGTGGGTGACCATGGCTGGTTATGGGTAGGAGCTGGGGAGAAGAAGGAGAGGAAGAGGAGAAATGAGAGTCAGAGGGGACAGGGAGTGGAACATGCCACCAGGAGACGCCTGTGTGCCCTGCATTTATGTACACATCGCTGAGCTGTGTCCATGTAGAAGTGAGGTTACATACACATAGCTGTGAGAAGGTCACCTGGATCTAAAAATGAGAAGCATAAAGCTAACGGTGCCTAGGATACAGGAAATCTGGGACTGACTGATAGTCAGGGTCCAAGACTGCTGATTTTATACTATTCTTCAAGCAGCAATCACAGGATGGATGCAAAGGAAGGAATTGGCACATGGAAGACTGGTAAAATCGAATTAGTATGCAAGATAGCACAACTGAGAAATAAATAATAATTCCCAAGTCAGCAGAATAGAGATAAATTATAAATAAGGAATACAGTTCTAGGGGACATAGTGGTTAAGAACAGTTGCTGCTCTTTTAGAAGTCTGAGTTTGCTTCTCATTTCAGTTGGCTCACAACTACCTATAACTCCACTCCAGGGGATCCAGTACTCTCTTCTGGGCTCTGAGGGCATCTGCATTACAAGCACATACCCACACATAAATAATAAATGATTTATCTGGAGGCAAGGCGGTCAGCCTGCCCTGGAAGTTGCTGTGTAAACCAGGCTGGCCTCAGGTACAGAGACCCACCTGTCTCATCCTCCCGCGAGTGCTATGATTACAGGTATGAACCCTGTATATAATAAAGTAATTGGAAAAAAATGGAAAGCAATTCAATTTCAGGCCAGCAATCTCACTCTCTGGCTTGTTGCCACGCTTGACCTGAGCTTGATCCCCAGTCTCTAGATCTAGATCCTTTGTGGGAGAACCAATTCCCAGAAACTATCCCCTGACTTCCACACAGACACATACATGCACATATACAAATAACACATTTTCACAAAATAAAAATGTATATTTCTACAGCTTCTCTGTGTGACAGTATTCAAGAGTGGAACTAAGATAAGTTGAGTATAGGGATCAGAAAAGCAGATGTACAAGGCATCCAGAAATATCCAAGTTGAAGAAGCCTGGAGGAACTAGAGAGATGGCTCCGTGGGGAAAGGTGTCTGCTGGCAAGCACGATGACAGTCCCTGGACCGCCATGACAGGAGAGAACTGACTTGCGAACAATGTCCTCTGACCTCCACATGTGCCACAGCACACATGCACAACGTGAATCAATAAAAAGTACAGGGGATGCTGTGGCAGCCAGTGGTATTACTGAGGGATATGCAGAGAAGGGGAGAAAGGGCCTCTCTGAAGTCAGAGGTCATGAGTTTCCCTGTGCCCTGCCTGCTTCCTGGTTCTCTCAGGTCACATGCTGAAGTGTGAGAACAGAGACGGAGGACACAGTGGCTGTGAAATGGCTCAGCAGTCTGTGTGCCGGCAGGGTACTGATGAAAGTGTATGGTGAGGACACTGATATTAGGGTATGCATTGGGGGCCCAGCAACGGAGCAGGGAGGGGACCTGTGATAGTGTGGTCAGTGATGGGACTGAAATAGGGGGCGCGCCAGAGGTAGAGTCTGGGCGAGGGTACCAGTGTGGACAGTGGGGATGCTAGTGACAGATCACATGACGGCTGCAGACCCAAAGAAAGCCGGTGTACTGGGGAGTAGGGATTGGTACCATAACCAGAGCAGATGGGAAGACATGATAGTAGAAACATTTCAAAACTAGCTGGACATAGTCTATGTGTCTGAGGCCCCAGCGATATAGCTGCTGACTCTAAGGAGGCAGGAGCCTGAAGAGCAGTCTGGCCAAACAAACAAACAAAGAAACAAAAACTAAACTAAAACCAAAACAACAACAACAAATCCTAATTCAAAACCAAGTAAATAGCCAGACAACAAACAAACAAACAGAAACCCATAGATACCGCTACACTAGTGTGTCAGAGGTACTAATGAAGAGAACGGAGATGGGCCATATTGATGGGACAGACGAGATTTGCTGCGTTGTGGGACAAGGGGAATAGGATGGTATCCATGAGGCCTTTAAGGTTTATCCAAGCGGATGGGGCTGTAGTGGCAGAAGAGCCATGCACACAGACACTTACCTGAAAAGGCAGCTTACCGGCTTGGGCACAGAGGAGTGAAAGATGAAGCAACCAGTTAGAAGACAGTAATAGTCACCGATCAGAAGATGGCCAGTTTGGGTCCATGCTCATTTGACTAAGCTCTACAGATATGTTTAAAGTTTGTGTACAGTGAGTTTACTTTTGAATTTCACAAGTAGTGTGAAAGCAATTGAACAAATTACCTTTTCTTCCATTTCATAATTCACTCCAAATATTGGACTGGCAGAATAGACTTTGTGAAGGGAGTTGATCTCCTTAACTGATTCTTGTAGTTTTTCCACTGGGTCTATTTTAAAGCCAAGAACGTATCCTCCACTCTGTAAGAAAAATAAATAAATAATAAGAAAACCAAAACCAAACCAAACCCAAGCCTGAGGAACAATACATTCAGGATACGATGGAATCACTCCAACTGTCCTTGTTTTGGAACATCAGCCTAAGCTGCTCTACAGAAATAAACTCTCTGCTCTGAAAATTCCAAACACCAGAGCTGAGGAGTCCAGTGAGCCTCCGGGGAGCGTGGAAGAGCAGCCAGCTGCAGGGCCACAGGAGCAGCCCGTCTCTAGCTTGGCTCCCTGAGCCTGCCTCCCCCATAGCTGTCCAGCTCGCACATAACTTCATATTTAAACACAAGCTGACCTTCTCAGGGGAGAACAATGCAGTGGAGAGTGATGATCAAAGGAACTAAGGTTTTCTTGGACTAGGTCTTGAGAAGGAATAGACCATCCATTAAAAAATGGTCTCTTTGAAGCTATCTCCTTAAAGGCTTTGGAAAGAATCTTGACTATGATTGACCACAGACTGGCAGAAAGAAGTGTTTAAAAAAAATAGCATAGTGTAAGGGGTAAAAGGGCCAGATGGTGGTGACACATACCTTTACGCCCAGCAGAAGCAGGTGAATCTTTGTGAGTTTGAGGCCAGCCTGCTCTACAGATTGAGTTCTAGGACAGCCAGAGCGACACAGAGAAACCCTGACTCAAGAAACAAACAAACAAACAAACAAACAAGCACCTTTCCTTACTCTTTCTAAAGCTCATTTAAAAACCATGAAATGGCTATTAAGTGCTTTTATTAAACAAGAAAAAGTATATCCTGTTGACACAGTTCCTGGGACATAGTGGGTACTTAGTAAATGGGAAAGAGTAGACATTCACATTTTTAAATTTAGAAGTGATTTTATAATTTTCTCCCTTCTTCTGAGTACACCAGAGGGCAGCAGGGGGCTGGAGAGTAACTAGAATAGTGCCTCTGAAAACTCACTTTAAGAAAATTGTATCTGGGGTATGGTTGCACATGCCTGTTGTCGTGGCACTCAGGAGGGAGAGGCAGGAGAACCAAGAGCTCAAGACCAGCCTGATCTCCATGGAGTTCAAGTCCATAAGGAAAATATTTTCAATGTTTCAGATGTACTTCTGCAACACTACAGAATACTGGGTATGCAGCAGCTTACAATCAGATACTGTTCAGTCTGAGAATTCCTGTTGCCCAAAGCAAGTGTGAATCAGACAAACGGGTGAACATCACCCCATCCCCATCAGCTTCGAGATTCCAGGGGAGGTTCCCAGCTCCTCCAGGCCTCAGCACCAGGACTGTAAGGGGAGGGAGAAAACAGCCACCATTTCATGGAGTTATCAGATTGAGATAATGTATGAAGTGTGATGACCTAGCACAGTGATTTCCCTCATAATTACAGCAATATCAAAACAATAATGATTGTATCCATCTAACGAGCAAACTGCGGAGTATGAAGTGGTGACTCACATCTATGACCCTAACACTTAGGAGGCTGAGGCAGGAGGCTCCCGAGTTTGTGGATGCAAACACACACAGGTAGGTAGGACTCTTCCTATGGAGATAGTTACTCTGAGACTTCAAATACTTCATAGATCTACATGTTATAGCTGATATTCTTGCACGTAAACTGGCCACTATAGAAGGACAACTAAAAACCTAGTTACATAGTTAAAGGTTTATCAGTTTAGTAAAAATGTTGAATATCTTACCTGCTGAGAGCTTTCTATGACAAGAGCCAAACCAAATTTTGAATCTCTGATCTTTATTGAACGCTATATAAAATGAAAAAGAAAAAAATGCACATTTTTATTATCTGATAGTGGCAACTCTTTAATCATGCTTTAATTATGTATTGTGCTGTAGTCCTGGCTTTTGAAGCAGGGTCTGTGCCTCAGGCTGGCCTGGAACTCTGAGCAATCCTCCTGCTTTAGCCTCTGAGTGTAAGGACTCAGAGATATGTTACCACACCCACTTTTGCAGAACTACTCCTCATAGTCTAAAGATTAGGAGCCTCTCATCTACCCTCTCCCTGCGGGAATCAGTAAAAGACAATATGAAGGCAGGTGGCAAACCGAAAAAGACATACACAGATATTCTGATATTCCCAACTCTACAGCATCAACAGGGTTCTGACTATTTCACACAAAAGGCTGATGATCTTCCAGTTATGAGGCATCAGTGTCCTTCATGGCTCTTAAAGCAAGATAAAGTTATGCATATCATTCTGTTTCTCACACCTTGTCCTGGTTATGTTTTTTGTCAAATAGACACAGTTAGGGTCATCTGGGAAGAGGGTACTTCAACTGAGAAAATGTCCCCGCCCATGACCTGTAGGCAAGCCTGTGTGGCATTTCCTTAATCCGACATATGAGATATGTTCTGTGGTTGGTGCTACCCAGGGCTGGTGGTCCTGGGTTCTATAAGAGAGCAGGCTGAGCAAGCCATGAGGAGCAAGCCAGCAGCATCCCTCCATGGTCTCTGCATCAGCTCCTGCCTCCGGGTCCCTGTCTTGTTTGAGTTCCTATCTTGACTTCCTTCAGTGATAGACTGTTCTCTAGAAAGGAAACCCTTTCCTCCTCAAATTCATTTTGGTCAGTTTGTTTATCATAGCAACAGAAACTAACTAAGAGAGAAATTTGTACCGGCTCATGGGGTACTGCTGTGACAGATATGACCATGTATTTTTGGGAGGAATGTAGTATCCTTTGGACTTTGGGTTAGAAAAGCATTAAGTGTTCAAAGCTTAATGGTCTTTTCTTTGGGAGCAAGCCAGTAAACAGCACTTCTCCATGGCTTCTTCGTCTGTTCTCTCCTCCAGGTTCCAGTGGGATGGAAGTGTAATGGAGATAAACCCTTTTCTCCCTAAGTTCCTTTTGATCATGGTGTTTCATCACAGCAATAGAAAGTTAAGACAAATGTCAACCTCTACCTATCTATCTAAATGACACAAGCTAGTAAGACAGGACATATACAGACACACACACATGGCTAGTGCCCATGGAGACACGGAGACACAAATACACAAATACACAAATACACAAACACGCACGCACGCACGCACGCACGCACATGGCATGGGCCTTGGAGTAATCAGACACATACACACACACACACACACACACACACACACACACACAGAGCTTGGGCCTCTGGAGGCGTCAGGGCAGTGGCTGAGGCTAGAGCTGAAGTTGGAACATGACTACTGCAGCGACAAGCCGCGATGTATCACATTGCAAGCTGTTTGGGTCAGGCTGAATTCATTCCAGAAGCCACATGTGGCAGCCCTATTCATAAGTAACAAAAAAAATATTCTATTTGAAGACCAGAAAGCACAGGTTGTTCACTGCTCATTATTATTCAGCATAACAAGGATCAGGCTTGGTGAGCATAACCACATAAATGACTACAGAGCAGCAGGGAACACTGTGTGGTGGCATAGCACTGTAACCCCAGTGCTTGGGAGGGTGAGGCAGGAAGAATGCTATGAGTCTGTGGCCCAGCCTGGGCTACACAGTAAGTTCCACAGTAGTTTGGATTATAGAAGATCCTACCTCAAAAACATCTCAAACTAAACTAAACAAACTAAGCAATAAATATAAACAACAATTTTTCAAATATTCATGCAGTGACTATCAGATCTTCCCAGCCACAATGATGAATTATTTTTGCCTGTAGAGACAGCTCAGCAGTTGAGTACTTGCCTAGTTTGTACAGGGCCCTGGGTTTGATCTCCAATACCATAAATAAAACAAATGATCGTATTTCCTTAGATTTCCTTCCTATCACACTCTGGCTATTCCTTTAACGTGTTGCTTCCTTGGCCAGGATGAAGCTCCTCTAGCAGGGGCTGTGCTCAGGCTCACAGTTGTCTTGACTGCTGATCACTGAGCATGCAGTGATACTGTCTTGGAGCTTCTGTTGCTATGATAAAATGCCACGGGCAAAAGCAACCTTGGGAGGAAAGGGTTTATTTCAGCCTACGTGTCCTAATCATAGTCTACCATGAAGGGAAGTCAGGGAAGGAGCTCAGGTCAGGAACTGAAGCAGAGGCCAAGGAGGACTGCTGCTTCCTGGCTTGCTTCTGTTTTCCTAATGTTCATTGATGTGTATGATCTTTATCTGTCTGTATGCTACATGTGTGCCTTTGGAGAGGTGGTTCCCAACCTGTGGGTCTCCTTTGGGTGGGGGGGAGGGTGTCGAATAATCCTTTCACAGCTAAGACCATCTGAAAGCACATATATTTACATTATGATTCATAACAGTAGCAAAATTAGTTATGAAGTAGCAACAAAAATAATTTTATAGCTGGGATCAGCACAACATGAGGAACTGTATGAAAGGGTTGCAGTATTAGGAAGGTTGAGAACCACTGCTTTGGAGGGTGTCAGATCCCCTGGGGCTAGAGTAACAGGAGGTGGTTGTGAGTTACCTGATACCGGGGCTAGGAAATGAACTGGGGTCCTCTGGAACAACAGCAAGCACTCTTAACCACTGAGCCATCTCTCCAAGCCTTTGCCTTCAGCGTTGGGGATTGCACTAGCAAGGCACTGTACTGGTGAGTTACATTCCCAGTCCTTTAGATACTTCATTTTTTCTTTTCTTTTTTGTTTGAAATATAGTCTCACTGTGTCACACTGGCTGGTCTGGAACTTGCTATGGCATCAAACTTACAAAGATCCAACTGTCTGCCTCCCCAGAACAGGGATGAGGGGCTGGGGGAGAACGCAGGACACGCACACATCACACACTGTGCATAGTTCTTAATAGCAAGCTGAGGGAGGGTTGAGGGTCGGGATGCAGCTTAGTGGCAAAACCTTTGGCTAGCAAATGCACGATTCACCAAAGTGAATATGAGTGTGGAGGTCAGAGAACAACCTTGGGGAGCTGGTTCTCTCCTTCCACCACTCAGGTCATCAGATTGGGTGGCAAGCACCTTAACCTGCTGAGCTCTCTACTGGCCCCCAAGAGTATGCTTTTATTTAATAGCACATAAAAAGAAAAAATAGCCAGAACTCATATAACCCCAAACATCCAGTTATTAACTGCATTATTTATTCTACATTTAAAGAAGGTAATGTACACAACGCATGTACTTACAATTTGCAGATATGGTATGCTGACATTAAAACTGTCATTCATATTGGCATGCCACACAATTCTCACATTGGTAATAAAAAAAGTTCCTAAATTCCCCTGCAGAAGAAAGACAGAGGTAAGTCGATGGTTGCTTGTTAGTATCCCTAGTCTTTGTTTCTAATTCTCATTATGACAGCAGTAGATTGACACGAGAAGCTAGCATTATGGAGTAGTGGTGACTCACTGTCTACAAGCTAGCACAGCTAGATGACTCAATGCCTGGGCCTGGAGTCATTAAGCAGTAGGAAAGGACATCAGAAGAGTTAAACATTCAAGTTAGTGTATTTGTCTGAGGACATAGTTAAAAATTTGTGTGTGTGTGCACATGTGTGTGTGTGTGTATGTGTGTGTGTGTGTGTATACACACATGTGAGTGCATGAATGGGGGTCAGAGAACAGCTCTCCGGAGTGAGTTCTCTCTGGCCACCTTAGGGGATCCAGAAATCAAACTTGGGCTGTCAGGGCTGCATGCAAGCCTCTCTACTCTCTGAACCATTTCACTGACCCACAACATTCTTCTTGGTGTAATTTGTAAAATGAGGATTTGAATAAATAATCTCCCCACCTCCAGCTTTTTTAAGCCTTTAGTATAGAGCCTGGCACATAGCATATCATAGGAATTAGATCTTTCTATAATTATCATTCAAAACTTGTGATATCTCTGAGCAAAGGAGTTATGACAACTGAGAGTAAAACCTTATACTCCTATCCTATCTATCCATCCGTCCGTCTGTCTGTCTATCTATATCAAGATATATTTGATGGTTCTTCAGTACTGACACCACAGCCAGATGTGGTGATTCACATCCATAATCTCAGGACTTGGAGGGCTAAGGCAGGAAGACCATGAGTTTAGAGCCAGCCTGGGCTACACAATGAGTCTTTTTCTCAACAACAAAACAAAACACAAGCAGCAGCAACAACAAAACCCTGGGGCTGGAGAGATGGCTCAGTAGTTCAGAGCACTAGTTGCTCTTTCAGTAGACCCACAAGGCAGTTCACAACGATCTGTAGCTCAATGGCCTCTTCCATCTTCTATGGGCATCAGGCACATGTGATGCACAGATAAACACACAGGCAAGAGACCTATGCACATAAAAATAAAACAAATACCACCACCACCACCAAAAGCAATGAGACATTTAAAAAATATTTATTTTATATATTTTGAGACAAGGTCTCATTTTGTAGCTCTGGCTGCCCTGCCTGGCTTTAAATAGAGAGATCTGTCCTCCTCTGCCTCCTGAGTGCTGGGGTTACAGACTACGCCACCACTGCCCACCTCTTGACTATGTATCTGTGTCTCTGTGCGTTATGTGCTTGAGAGTATTAGTGTTCATGGAGGCCAGGTCATCGGACACTTGGAGCTGGAGTCACGAGTGGCTCTGAGCTGCCTGAGTGGGTCCTATAAGCCCAGCACTCAGATGAAAGCTGAGTCCTAGGGCAGCTTGGATTACATATGGCCCTGTCTCAAAGCTAAACACACACACAGGATGAATGAAGCTCTGTGGGGCTAGGTGCATGCTTGTAAACCCTGCAACTCAGAAGGGAAAACTGTGAGAAGGAAAAAAAAGAGAGACAGAGTGTGTGTGTGTGTGTGTGTGTGTGTGTGTGTGTGTGTGTGTGAGAGAGAGAGAGAGAGAGAGAGAGAGAGAGAGAGAGAGAGAGAGAATATTGCTCCATGTCTAAAGTTGTAATGCTAACTTCTCCAGATCGCCAATGCTAACACTAGTGATTACACAACCCCAGTGATGAGAAGGAAACGGCTGTTGAAAGAGCCCTAAAAGGCTAACGATACCTGGTCGCTGGATAAATTCCATACACCATTGATCTTATCATACACATGTTCCTGTGGTAATAACCTCAGCTGCTTGTTCTGAATGACTGCGCTTCTCAACTTAAAATCACGGTACATTTTGGATGTTTCATATGCTCTACAAAAAGAATAAATAAAAGACCAGTCATTTGAAATGAAAAATGTGGTTTGTTAGGCTGTGTTTATTCATCTACTAAAATCCACACTGCTCATGCTTCTGGGCATCACTCAGTTATTATGGTAAATGTAAATGCTCTTTACTGAGCTGTGGTAGCACGTGCCTGTAGTCTCATCACTTGGGAGGCTGAGGCAGGAGAATTGTTGACAGTTTGGGGCCATCCTGGACAACATACTGAGTTCTAGGCCAGCCAGGGCTGTAGACGGGGACTGCTTCTAAAAGCAAAAGCAAAAACAAAACCCAAAAGAACACAGAATTAGTTTCCTTTTCAGTAAGGATAAGTGGCTGCAGTCTTCTGTCATGGTGGTATGATCCTGACAGGGTTTCTCTGTGTAACAGAGACCAGGCTGACCTCAAACTCACATAGATTGACCTGCTTCTGCCTCCCAAGTGCTGGGATTAAAGGTGTCCACCACCACGCCTGGCTTGATTGTATTTTTAAAAGATTAGATATTGGCTTCAAATTTACTATGTGCTCCCTCTCCTGACTTGGTCACAGCATTCCTTAGGTCAAACCAAAGAGAGCTATGGCTCAGGTGCATGACCATGGAGACTAAAATGTATGTTGTTGCTATAGTGCTGGGTGTGGAATCCAAGGCCAGGAGCATGCTAGGTGAGCACTCAGCCGTCAGCCCATACCTCAAGCCCCAAAGCCACTCAGCATATGCTGAGACAAACACTTGTACACAGATGTTCAGAGAAGCATTATTAATAATCTAAGCAATAACATGAATAACTATAAAGAGAAATTATTTAGGTAAAACATGTGAATGTTTATCTGCTATACAATTCTTTTAAACTCATTACTTGAAAAATTTTATATAATTAATTTAGTAGAACCTTTTCAGTACTCTTACATTTTACAGAGGGTGGTGCTATGTAGCCCAGGATAGCCCATATCCCCTCATCCTCCTGCTTTACCCTCCTGAGTGGTGGTATTACAAGTGTGCTTTATAAAGTCTTTCAAGGTGCTTCTTATCTGATAATGAAGTATATTATTGCAAATATCTTTTTGATATTTGCAACTAGAAGATACTGTCAGACAACTGCAAAATTTTGCCCTTTACACCATTACATCAAAGTAACTTGATACAGTCATAGCTCTGCGATTGTACCTGTGCACTGCAATCACAGAAGTAAAAAGCCTGGGGCTCCCGGGAACCAGATTTGTGAATATAAACTCAAATCGGGTGTTGTTGCATTTTGTCAATATATAGAGAGCTTCGGTTTGGCCTCGTAGTTTCTGTAAAGTCAAATTTATTACAAAGTTCAGAGTTAAAGAGCAGGTTCTCTCTTAAGGCAGAAGCAAGCCTTAACGTTAAGTATCCAATGTCTCTTCACAACACATCTACTTCACAAGGATTTTTCAGACTTACGGAGTTAGCAGTTCTTGTTGTAATATTAAATATGCAGTTGTAACCAATAGCTAAAATGAAAACAAAGGAAATACAGAGCATGAGATCATAAACTGAGAAACATAGTATTATAAAAAATAAATTAAAAACCCAGAATGTTAATGTTTTACAAATTAAACATGAGCAGAAATACAACTTCTTAAGTTTTTATGAGATAAATACAAATTGAGGCTAGGAACAGAGCTGGGGGGGGGGGGGGGAGAGCACCCCCCTAGCATCACGGAGCCCTGAGCTTGGTCCTCTGTGTACTGGATAAACAGCACAGTGGTATACACTTGTAACCCCAGTACCCAGAAGATGGAGGCAGGAAGATCAGAAGTTCAAGCCATTTTCAGTGACAGAGCAGGTTAGAGGCTGGCCTGGAATATGTGGGACCCCCTCTCAAGAAGGAAAAAAGAAAGAAAAAAGAGGAGACAGAGAAAGAGAGAGAGAGAAAAAGAGAGAGAGAGAGAGAGAGAGAGAGAGAGAGAGAGAGAGAGAGAATAAATAAATGATTATAAGAAATTGACAGTCAGTCGTGCTTCTTTGATGAAATAAAAATATTCCTAATATGGAAAAAGAAAATGTCTAAAACCCATACAACACCATCTATCAACAAAACAAAACCCTTTCCACCATTATGCCAAAAGAAAAATATGGCTAGATTTGTCACACTTAAAAAAAGAAAAGGCACCAGGTGGTGGTGGCGCACGCCACCCACTTAATCCCAGCACTTGGGAGGCAGAGGCAGGTGGATTTCTGAGTTCAAGGCCAGCCTGGTCTACAGAGTGAGTTCCAGGACAGCCAGGGCTACACAGAGAAACCCTGTCTCGAAAAACCAAAAAAAAAAAAAAAAAAAAAAAAACCAAACAAATAAACAACAACAACAACAACAACAAAAAAAAAACAGCATGTTTTCAAAGACAATGAAAACAGAAGCAGAGTCAGAAGCAGAGAAGGCTGGGCAGGTAAGACAGCTTGCACGAGCCCAGAGACCTGACTCTCATCTCCTGAACCCATACAAAAGTGGACGGAGAGAACCGACACACACAGTCGCCCCTTGGCATACCAACCCCACCCCAGCAAGTCATGAGCACACATAATTATAATAAAAAATTTAAAGACAAAAACCATCCTGTGTAAAAACACTCATCTCACATATGCCCAACATACAAAACTGAGAGACTGAAAAATAAAGAACCAATCATTTCTTTTACATTATGAAATAGTCTGTGATCAGTCTTGGATTTCTCAAGGTTTTCTTAAAAAGGGATTTCATATTTCCACATTCCTCATGGTATGGCTTAAAAGAAAACCGTTGTTGTCCTTTTACATTACTGGGGATTAAATCTAGAGCCTTAGGCATGTTGGGCAAGTGCTCTACCACTGAGCTCTGTCCCCAGCACTTTTGATTTTTTGTTTGTTTCAAATACAAAATCTATCATCCAACTTTCCTGAAAAGGGGATTTTTTTTTTCCCCCTTAACATCTTATCTAAGAAAGATACTTACAAAGATTGATTCTGGGTAATGCCAAGGAATGCCAGATGATTCTTAAGTTTGTTACTAAGAGTCTACCTAAAAGCAAAGCAAGCAAGAACATATTAGCTTAAGGCCATTTTACAGCATGGACTAGAACTACGCATGGTTTGATGCCCAGCACTGCATGAACTGCATGCCTGTGATCCAATTGTTCAGGCGTGGAGTCAGGAGGACCATAATTAGCTACACAGAGAGTCTGAGGCAGCCGGATTTAGATGATTTTTGAAAAAGAAAAAAAGAAAAAGAAAAGATAAAGAATGTGTAGCCAGGCAGTGGTGGTGCATGCCTTTAATCCCAGCACTTGGGAGGCAGAGGCAGGCGGTTCTTCAGTGTTGGACCAAGAAATTCAGAGTTAAGCCTACTCGCAATAGAATTGAGTTGGAGTTTAGAGTTAAAATTGGGGAGGACAAAACAATTTTATGAAGAGTCAGAAATGGTAGTGATGCTGTTAACTAATCCAACACTCTGGAGGCTGGGAACAGAGGCAAAGGCAGGCAGATCTCTATGAGTTCCAGGCCACCAGCCATGGCTGAAAAGGAGAGAGAGGACCTGGCACGGTGGCCTGAGCCTTTAATCCCCACACTTGGGAGGCAGTTAGATCTCTGTGAGCTTGAGGTCAGCCTGGTCTACACAGAGAGTTCTAGGGTAACTATGGCATATAGAGAGATCCTGTCTTAAAAAATCAAAGCCATAAAGAGAGAAGGGACATAATGCAGTTTGTTTCATCATGTAGTTATGCAACATTAGAAAAGTCAAGTAGCCTCTCGGTTACACCAGTGAAGAGAATGGTAGGAGTGTCCACTCTAAATTTGCATTATTATGTAAGATTACATGTACAAATATGAACAAAAGCAGTTGCAAGTCACAAACACTTCAAAACTGTTACGAGCAACTGGGGGAACATTGGAAGGGTTGGAGGCAGGACTGGGAAGGAGAAAGGATATCATTATCTATCTTCTTAATTTATTTAATGTATGTGTGTACACTGTGGCTGTCTTCAGACACACCAGAAGAGTCTTTTGCATCAGATCCCATTACACATGGTTGTGAGCCACCATGTGGTTGCTAGGAATTGAACTCAGGACCTCTGGAAGTGTAGTCAGTGCTCTTAACCGCTGAGCCATCTCTCCAGCCCAATATAACTATATTTTAACTAAAACATTTTAATTAAATGTTAAGAGTGACTATTTTGTTTTCCTTTCTTCTATGAAGTGGGGAACGCTGACAGTTGAATCCAGGACATGACCCTTGATAGACAAGAGCCGCAGAGAGCTTTAGCCCCACCCCTACCCCTCCTTTCCTCTCCTCCTGCCCTGCTCTTTTAGACTGAAAAGCTTTAACACGCTAGGTTCCTTAAAGCCACCCTTGCTTAGATAGTAACACTTTATCGCACAGGCTATCCCACTGATGCTCCTGTCTCAGCACCCAAGTAGCTGGGACTAGAGGTGTATGCTTCCAATCCTGGCTTAGTATTTTAATGCTTTACAAACTGATTTTTATTATGTAAAATTAAAGGCGCACTGATTTCCTTGTATCATTTCACTTAGGTGACATTTTGTCTTTAACACATTTCTATTAGCATATCCAGAATGGGGTGAGGAGAGTTTGCTCTGTCACCACTTTCCCCTCACTGTTATCTCCTGTAAGTCTCCTGCTGCCTGTTTTCTACTGAGGGAGACCCCTCCCTGAAGCTCCTGCCCATCCTACCAGGCCCTCTCTCTTCTCTCTGTCCCTGTGTCTTCTAATCTCCCCCAGTACAGAATCTGCTGGCCCCCATTTCACTCTCCACAGCGTCAGTGCCCCACGCGAACCTGACAGTTTCATGGCAGAGTACTTAGAAGTGGATTAAATGTGCTAATCTTCTGGATACTCTTAGCTTTAAAACAGGGGGTCCTGAATGGGACATGGCCTTAAGTTGGTCACTTGGAAACTGCTTGAAAGGAGATGTGGAGGGTTTGAAGGCAGAACTCCCCATCCCCTCTCTACCTCCAGATAAACCAGACACTCTGCACATTCCTGTAAGCCTTCCATTAGACAAAGCTTCCTGAGTTCTGAGTAGGATTTAGGTACTGTGAGGGGATTATTTGTAGCCAAGCTTCAACCCAAAACCCTGGATGGCTTCAACCTTCTGATCTTCCTACCAACCAGTCCTGAGGGCTGAGGATTCACCCAATGCTGAACCCAGGGCTTCGTGCCTGCTAGGAAAGCGCTCTACCACTGAGCTCATCCCCAGCCTCAGAAGGCCTCTGACCTCTGCTGTAGTTTAACTTCTGCTGCTGTGATAGAACACTCTAGCCCCGGACAATCTGAGAGGATCTGTGTTTCCATCATCGAGGGAAGTCAGGGAAGGAACTCAAGGCAGGGACCTGGAGGAGAAACCACGGAGCAACACTGGCTTCCTAATTCACAGGCTAACTTTCCTATAGAGTCCAGGACTACCTGCCCAGAGATGGTGCTGCTCACAGTGGTCTGGGATCTCCTATATCAATCAAGACCCCGAAGACATGCCCAACAGGCTAATCTGATTTAGGCGATTCTTCAGTTGAGGTTTCCCCTTTTAGACAACTCTAGGCTGTGCCAAGCTGTCAATTAAATCTAACTAGAACACTGTCTATACTCCAAAAATCAGATACAGGATTCAGCACTCAGTGAAAACTGTCTTACTATCCAGTCTCTAGCTGTTATGGACTGTCACAAAAAACATCCTGTCAATCAATGTATAAACAACTAAACTTTCTCTTGACTTCTCAGGGTAACTTGCTTTTCCCTAAGATTTAGCCATCATGGCATCAAAATTACTATTCTGACTTACAAAGTACAAAGCAGGATGTTTTGTTTGCTGCTAGGTTTGCATGTTCACCCTCCCCTTGACCTGACTGACACCAAGATCATCGAGAAATGTAAGCATCCCTCTAAGGATCCGCCTTAGACACTGACAGCATCTGCTTGCGGCTAGCAGTAAAGACAGTTTCCTCACAGAAAATGGGGACTTAGAAAGGCAATTCAGAAGAAAGTCCTAGAGAGCACGCAGCCACTCAAATGCTGCATTAAGCCTGATCTGCCACATGTTTCCAATTCTTACCCAGGACACACTGATCTCTTTATCTGAGTCAGTCTGAGTGAGGTGGGTTCCTCATCCATGATACCTCCTTCCTATCTAAGTTCCTGGCTCCTCCAAAGACACTTTTAGGACACACCAAGCTCCCCTCCTTCCCCTGCCCTCTGAAGAACAGTAATGAAGCTCTTAGACCCTGTTGACTGCACACTGACTCTCCGCTCCATGGACATCTGCTTTAAGTTTTAGCTTCAAGCAAATTTGATTTAGGAAGGATGCTAGAATCAGCTGTAGCTGTTTCTCAGCGGCAGCTTGAAAAAAAAAATCCTATATGACTTTCTGGTATTTGACGACAAATAGACTTCTCAGTGTAGCACTAAATTTCCGCTTCCACATGTCAGTCAACCTCTAGGGGCCAACCTGAGGGGACTGTGCAGCACTTCTGGATTACAGTGAAATATGGCTACAGATACCACATCTATGGTATGTAGTGTTCAGGACACTATTATTTTAGTGGGAGGCATATCCAAGGATAGGAACGATCCTATAACTCTTGCAAACAGGGCTCCTGGAGTTTTGATCATTATACCAGAAGATCTCATGTCATGAATTAAGACTCACTTCTGACCCACTCTGTAAGTTTAATACCTATCTTTTCTTTCTTTCTTTTTGTTTTGTTTTGAGACAGGGTTTCTCTGTGAAGCCCTGGCTGTCCTGTCCTGGAACTCACTCTGTAGACCAGGCTGGCCTCGAACTCAGAAATCCGCCTGTCTCTGCCTCCCAAGGGCTGGGATTAAAGGTGTGAGCCACCAACGCCTGGCCCTATCTTTTCTTTTATTTGTGAGAAATTTGCAGGCTTAACTTTTTCTCTCCTCACAATTACATTCACATACAAGGCTTTTTCTCCTGCTATTATGAACCAACGTTTATAAATTAAACCAGAATGTACTCACCTCTATCTCCATTATTTCCTTTTGTGTCTTCAATTGAATCTAAACAATCAATAAGGACTTCCCCAGGTCTTGTCTTCATCTGTCTAAAATAAGCATAAATTCGAGATTTATAACTTCAACTCTGTCTGCTGCCAATCTACTTAGAGAGGAGAAACTTAGGCACAGGATAGCCAGCAGTGTGAAGTATACAGCCCTGACTGCTCATGTATTTGAGAATAACTTCTAGACTCTGGAAGTCAGTGGGGCCTGAACTGACCAGGGCCACTCAGGAGTCAGCTAGGACCAGAAGTGGAGTCTTGAATGACTAAATGGAAAAAGAGCAAAGGGTGTATGACTGGAAAACAGGAACAAGAAAGGGACGAGAAGTGGCTTTGAAGAAAAGGCACTGAATAATGAGAGAAGTATAGCTGGGTAACAGGGAAAAAGTTATCAAAGGATCTGGGACTCCAGTATGATAGGTATATAGGTATATAGGTCTTAACCTGTGGACAGTAGTAGACAATCCTCAGAGGTTTCTCAGGCAGCTATAGAAGGAATGGTTTTAAAAAGGGTTGTATGAGAAGTATCCTCAGGAGAGTAGTGAGGGGTTCAGCAAGTAAAGGTGGCTGCCACCAAGTTTGATGACCTGGGTGACATCCCTGGCACCCACACAGTCAGAGGAGAGAATCGACTTCTGCAAGTTAACTTCTGACCTCCACTCATGAATGATGCACACAGGAAGCACTCTCTGTGAGCTCTCTCCACGGGCTCTTTTGATCATATGAGTTACCTGTGTGACAACTCTACTGAACTAGAATGAGGAAGAGTGTGTGATAATCATCCCCTCTTACGTTCGTGTCTAAATTTTGAGACAGCTGGCTGTAAACTGAAAATGTTCATGAAAACTGGATTAGTCTGGATTAAGACCCACCCTACCTCCCAAACTATGGGGAAAGACGTAGAAGCTGTGTAATGAGTTACTGTACTTTGTAATTTCACAAATACTCCCTCCCTCAACTTCCTAAAGGAACGAATACTATGTTAGGCATCCAGTTACTACAAAGACTGAGAAGTGTACCAATATTTCATTTTGCATGATAAAGCATCATTAGGAAGCAGCTGAGGTTCCATGTAGTTATTGATCCAAGATCTTCAGCTTCCAAGTTTTCCATCGCGATCTCAGCGCGCCCCTCCCTGATTTCTGGGCAGGAAGGTTTTTAACCATCTTCTCTTTTAAGCATATTCCCCCACAAACAGGGCTTCTTTTTTTAACAAGCTTTTAAAGATTTAGATAAAGACCAAATGAAATCTTAACCCCGACACAAGCTTTGCGTGCTTGGTTGTTTTGGAGAATTCTCACTCCCACCGCCATTTTACAGACATGCCAAATGTGCAGAGGCTCAAAATGTGCAATGCTATTCCGGATTTTGTTCTAGAACTCTGCTTTCCGGAATCCCTGCCCTACGTCCCCTCCACCGCTGGAGGGTCGCAGCCTTGATGGGCGCACACTAGATAGGCCGCTAGCCAGGGCAGGGCGGAGGACCGCAGGGGATCAGAGCTGCGGGGTCACAGCGCGTCCGTTGACTCACTGCGAGGACACGTCGAAACGCACGTCGCGGTCCTCCCACAACACGTCCATCACAGACATGGCGATCGAGGGATCCCGCCGAAGAAATCCACGGCGGCCGTCCTGTGGCGTCTTATGGGCGCCAAGGCAACGCGCCGGCTTTGTCACGGTATCTACAGTATCTACGGCGGGCGCCGAGGCACAAGCTTCCACCAGGTAGTGCAAGCTCTTTTCCCAGCCCGTTTGCGTCACTAGGTCGTTTTGAGCTGGGTGGCTGGGAAGGTGTTTCACTTCTGAGTCACCTCTCTGGTCTCTGCACAGAACTTTAGCCATTTCAGCTTTCCTGCTGTTTCCCTACGCTATCTAGGAATCTTAACTTCATCAAATTACATTCCTGGTTTGATGGGGCTCTGGCCCTGCCCACCTTGCATGCACTGGTGGCCTGGATCTCAGGCTACATTACAGCCTGAGGCTCGAACCTGTTGAAGTCCTACTCCATCTGGGACCATTACTTTCCTAGATTCCCATACTGCCAGCCCTTACGTCCTATTTCACAAGTCAGCTCTGGGGTCCCTCTATTGTGAGCAAACAAAACACAGACACCTCTCTCTCTCTCTCTCTCTCTCTCTCTC